GAAAGGGTAAAGTACTGAAACTAAACTGTTGAAATAAGAAAAAAGTACTGTAATAAAAATACTAGTGTCGAGCTAGTTAGTTTTGAACTAGTAAACAACTGCAAATCAAAGTACCTGTTATCTAATCTATCTACCATAAACTCAACAAATAAGCTACTTTTAAAGAGAAGCAGTAAGTCCTAAAAAAAACAATCAGGGTACTTTCAAATGGAAGCCATAAGATTCATTCTAAAATAGAACTATAGATAACTTTTAAACACAGAAGTCGTAAGACCTATCCAAACAATACCAATAAACGACTTCTAAGTAAAGCAGTAAGACCCACATGTTAGGAAAACTTTTAAGTGAAGTATAATAACCCTAAAACCCAAATAAAAGCTTCAAGCTATTTCCTAAGGGAAGTCGTAAGACCTATCCAAACACAACCTACGGGCTGCTTAGCTTATAGGGCTAGGTTGTAAGACTAACTTTCAGGCCACTTCTAAAAACAGAAGTCGTAAGCCTATCTAAAATAGACATGAGTCTTCCAAAGATTGTTATAAGACCTATTATTCGGACTACTTTCAATGAAAGTCGCAAGACCCACTTTTAAAACGATCATGCTACTTCCAACAGAAGCCATAAGCCCCTAACCAACTCAATTAACCAGGTAACTTCTAAATAAAGTCATAAATCTCAAACTAAATCAACCACTGGATATTCTAACAGATGTAAGCCCTAAACCACAATAAAATTACAATCCACTCATAATCACTTCAGTTTATTCGGGATTTCTGAGAGGAGATAACTCATGGCTGCTAATCAAATTTTCTAGACATTACGATCAATGATCACTAGTGTTGGTAGATTGAAACCTATGGTATACCCGGGATGACGGAACCACGAGATTTTGATCGGGTTTACCTTCATTTCCTTCATAATTGAGACTAAAACACCAAAAACTATTCATCCTTAATTTAGATTTCTTTCTTACATAGTAAGAGGGGTAATTAACTATGAGGGCTTGTGCTCATAAGGACCCCAATCTAACTTGTAATAGCTTATATTTTGACCTAGGAAAATAATTTTTTTCTAGAGTTATTATAAGTCAAAATCACAAATCGTCTTTTCCATATCATTGATATTATAGTATTTTAATTACATGGTTTTTTTTCATAATTTTTTAGCACTGGTAAAAATTCTTAAAAAAATTGGCACTTATCGGTACAAGTGGGGATTTTGAGATCCTTAAGTATCCGTTTTATAAATCAATTTCACCAATATTTTTTAAGCAAAATGATTTATTTTATAGATATTTTTTTATAATTTTTTGAAGCTCCAAAAGAATTTATATGAATATTATGTATAAAATAGAATAAATTATATAATTTTATTTATATTATACTATTATTTTAGTTTAAATATCATAATCCACTTATAGTAAATTGCTTAAGGCATTTCCTTCTCCACCATTCAACTAAACAGAGAACAATGAAAGAAATTTTAAGGGAAAAGAGAAGAGGGAAGCCAAGATTTGGAGGTCGTTGAGCAATTTTCATTCGTCGAGCTGAAAAATTTACTCGTTTCACAGTAAGGAATTATTTCCCTATTTTTAATTTAAAAGATTTGTGTTTTTATTATTTTTTTTGATCAAATTTGTATTTCGGTTACTTAATAATGATGATAATTTTGTGTTGGTAAAACTTTAACCGCATAACTTTTTATATGTTATAGAGATAAAGATTATGAAGTTTTGAATATTTATCTGAGATTTTTCACCGGGTGATTTTGAAAATACAACGATTTTTGCCTACTCGAAAATTTATTTAGGCATTTAATCAAAATATTATTTTATGCAATATTTGATAATTTGGTTAAATTCTGAAAATGTGAATTTTTGTTCAATATGATTTTTGTTGCATATCATTATGACATGTTTGCACTTTTTGAATTTAGCTCAATTATGTTTTATTTGTTGCAATGTTTTGGAAATGAATATGGATATGTGATTGAGATTACTAGTATATTACTATGATAATAATGTGTGTGCAAAAGATAAGTAAAGATTGATTGACTCGTTGGTTGGAGACTGATTGACCTATAAAGAATGGTGGGCCGCGGGCTTTCCTTTAAATATTTGGGTTGGCGTTATCCTCGAAAGATTCATGTGATACATTGATTGAGAGTTATAAATAGATGTTTACTATGCCGACGGACAAAGAGTGACGACTCTGTTTACTGAGCAAATAATTTATTGATACGATACTGAAAAGCATCGTGATAATGAAGAATTCTTACTTGTTTAGTGTGACTACTGAAATGCATGTTATTGAGACATTTTTTCTATCACTGCACAAATTTATTATTACTGCATTATTTTACTGCTGCCATTGAACTATTACTGATATAGACACCGATATTATTTGATACTGCTAATTCACTGTACAATAAGCATATAACATACTGAACACATAATATACTTATTTGATACTGATATATAATAATTGGATAGTATGGGTACACTTCTATGCGATTTTACTGCCTTAATATGATTTTGACTGTCCTCATTGATAATTTGATTTTAACTTCTTTATAAGATCTCTCTACTGATTAATAGTAGTGATACAAAGATTTCTTTATAAATTTGACACTTGTACTGATTTATTGGCTTTCGTATTGTTCTATTTTGCCGTTTATAAATTTTATTATTATTGCATGTGAGTTTTACTTTTTCTGCATTTTTTCAATGATCAAATGAATACTACTGGTATGATTTGATCCTTTGACATGCATATTACTCCTTTACCGTGCTTTGAATTCAGTTGTAGGTTTTGATAATCTGTTGGATTATACATATTATTTTGATATTATATAAAAACTACTTTTAATCTTTATTTTCACTTCATGCAATTTTCAGATTTTGAGGCTTATATCTCAAAACGCATTGAAGCTTACGCCTCGCTTTGCAAACGAAAAATGGCTCGATACTCAATTGCGCAATTTTAAACCTTGCGACATGTCAAGTTACTATTCACTATGTTCACAACTAGTATCTTTCGTATGATCGAATATTATAAGCATCTATGACAATATCCAATCAGGGTGATATGTGAATAAGAGTTGAAGATTTAGGATGCGTTTGGGACGGCTGCAGCTGTCGGTAAAGCAGGTTATGAAATTGTTGTACATAAAGCTGCTTTCTGAAGTTGCTGTACATAAATTATTATATTTTGTTTGGATAGTATAACTTTGAAATCACTGTGCTGCAGTTGTGCGAGTGCAAATTACGTTGAAACCCTTATATATATTGAGATGAAAGAAAATTATTTAAGAGATAATTTTTTTTTAAATCAGTATATTTTATTTGAAAATTTTAATTGTGGAGTTGTGCGCTATAACAGTATAAGAATAATTATTTTGATAGCATTAAAAATAATTAGATGAAAAAACTATTTATATGAAAAATTTCTTAAAATAAATATAATTACAAACCAACAATTTTAAATTAAAATCGATAATTTTATCATATGGAATTATAATTCTAGTTGGTTTGAGTTAGGAAAATAAAACCTTTACAAAAAAAAAAAAGCTGCTCCACTCGGTACTCCACCTCCTCTCTGTCATCACCAGCCAAGAGGAGGCTTATCAGCGGCAACACTTGCCGTTTGTTTGGGTCGGAGGGAGCATTCTGGAGATCGGAAGGAGGAATCACGGCAGAAGAACTCAGGAAAATCAAATCCATAGCAAAGGACGCATGTTCCTTCGACGAAGAAGATGGGGTTACCGGAAAAAGAAGGCCGGCGGAGGATGTAGCAGCGATCAAATAGCAGGATCGAAAGTGAAGCTCGACGAAGGGCTGAAGTTGCGAAGGCGGAGGTAGGAAATTTCAACATGATATTGTCCAAGCAGATGAAGGGTATTTACGCCATTTGTCATATCAGAACCGCAGAACACAGCAAAAACTTAGAGACTTCTATTTGGTCGCCAAAAGCAGGCTTTGGACGTGGAAATTTTACGACACCCATTAAAAAGCATTATCTCTAACAGCTACATGGTTACGTTTTAAAACGTAAAGCAGTCGAGACGACGTCCCAAACCAACCCTTAGTGTGGAACCCAGGTAAAATTGACGGTTTGTCTGTTTGTTATAGGTATTGTAGGTTGTTTTAGTTGATATACCCATAAAAAATTCAAATTACGTAAGAAACGTGTTGTTTTAATATCAAGATTTGACAATTTTGAATGCTTTCTAACCAAATTTTAGCTACCACTTATTATTAGCTGCAATTAAACCTGTTGGATTAGACAAAAAAAAAAGAACATGCAAAAGCAGTCAATTATATACAAAGATCTAGCTGAGGCAGAAGGCCAATAAGATGGCCATTTATTCATGACTATAAAATATAAATTAAATTAACTCAATTTTTAAGCAATATGATACTAATAAAGTTGTTTGATAATACTATCTGTGCGCTTTATCTGCATCTCTGCTTCAAGAGAAACTATTACGTGCGGAATCCGGACGTAAACGTGACATGTGTCCTTGTACACAGTTTACAAATTTGTACGCATTGTGTACATAGTGTGTATATTATGTATATAAGTTTGTATACACTATATACATAATTTTATAATTTGTATATAGTGTGTATAGTTGTACACACTGTGTATAAGGACACGTGTCACATTTTTATTGGAGTCCAGACATAATCAGACTCCGCACGTAATAATTTCTCCTGCTTCAAGATATTTTTTCCAAGGGCGCTCTCATTTGGTTGCTTGAAGTTGGATTCCATGTTCTGGTTGGACGTAGTTTCTAAAAAAATAACTTCCTAATTTCACAAATGTGATGAATTTATTTCCACACACACAATGAATAGAAACACATTGTTCTTTATATTTTCAAGCAACAAAACGCGCATAAATATGTTAGCATTATCCTATTTCCAGTGCATTGCATCGAAAGAATGATAGAACCTTTTATATGTTGAATGTTCAATAACTTAACCCGTCTCTTGCGAGTATATACAGGAAAACGAGAAGAAGGCCAGGAAGCAGTTTAAAGGACTTTTTGATAAGAAACCTGGAGAGATTTCCGAAGCTGGAAACAAATCTACAGATAACGATGATGAAGACTCGCAGAGCCCAGAAGGGAAGTCGCCTAACCCAGACGAGGGGCAAGAGAGCCAGACAAGCAGTGTTGATGTGGAGGTGCCTGCCAAAAGTTTAGGATTTCTCTCACGCCTGTGGCCTTCAGGTAGAAGAATCTTTGCTGCTTTTGGATCAAATAGATGTTCAATACTATGAAAGATTAAGGCTTCGTTTGGGACGGCTTTTTTACTGTTTTCTAAAACGGAGTTTTAGTACAAAATTTTTTATTTTTGTACTAAAACTCCATTTTAGAAAGCAGTAAAAAAGCCGTCCCAAACAAAGCCTAAGCCAGGTAACAAGCTGCCCCTGATTCATCATGTCCTCCAGTAGCTTTTCAGAGACAGCTTACTAGAGAATTATTTCTCTAGTGAAGCATTTTGTTGCGGATTATGTGGCTGTAAAATATTCTTTCTTTTTTTAATTAATAATCATATATCATGTGATGGTCGAGAGTACTGTAAAATTGCAATATGAATATTAATATAATAACAATAATAATATGTAGCCTTAATTCGGCTATATAAATCTTTTTTCTTCATCGTGTCCTGTTAAGAGTCATATGAATAATAATATTCTGAATAATTTGTAGACTTGGATTTCGTTTGGGATAACTTTCATATTATTTTTTAAAGCAGTTTCTTAGTATAAAAAACTTTTTTTAATTAGAATTTTTTATATTGAAAAGTTGTTTTATAAAGTAGTAAAAAATTTGTGCCAAACCAAGTCTTACTCTTTGCAATGTCTTGAAATTGGATCACAATATTCTGATTATTATTTTTTATTATATCTCAAAATTAATTTCATAATTGTTATGGTCATTCCAAGTAAAATTTGATAAAGAACTTAAATGTATCTGTACCTACATTACTGCTGCTGGTCTATTCTTTTCTGCATCTCAAGTACTGAAATGTTGTTTTATTTTATTTCATGGTTTTACATCAATTTGGTTAATTTTGTTTTTATCCAATGTTACTTTTGATTGCCCTAGTTATAAAGTAAGTTTTGAATATTGATTTGGTTTGTTATTGATGCTTTTCCATCTTAAATCCAAAACAAATTTGTAAGCAAGAGTAGAAGAAAGTTTATCAATTATTGAGTGGGATAATTGATGAAATTTCCTCAAATTTATTGAATTTAACATGATTTCAAAATCATTAATTAGCCAAAAGGAGCAGTTCAATAATACCCATCCCCCTTGATTATACTCCAACTAATAAATTATTATCATTATTATGTCTAACTATGCAATAAATTTATATTAGAGTAAATCTCAAAGTCTTTGAGATATGTGTAGTGTAAATTTTGATTAATGCGTGTCAAAGCTTGGCAAGATCTGAAACCGATCCGGAAAATTTTAATTTCAGGTTTGGGTAATCCATTTGCCATACTTTAAAATTTAAAGACCTATTGAGCTTAAAATTGTGCTGTTTTGTGCTCCTAGGTTTGTTGTCTTAGGTCCTGATGTCTTCACATTTAGGTTATTGACAATTTTGTTTATTTCATTGTCCGTCATTTCTTCAACACCTTGAAAAAAAAAAATCATCGAAAAATGTAAATGCTATTGGGAGTGTTCTCCTTCCCATGGTTACTTATGGTAATACTTTTTTCTATTATAGGTCTGTCTCTCTTTGCAATATATTTTATAAAATTATTATAAAAATTATTGCTAATAGGCTTAAGTTAGTTATGCTTTTAAATATTCACTATAGCCAATCTGGCTTTCTTCTACAAAAGATTTTTATAAAAACACTAATAATGATTATTTTAATATGGAATTTGACATGAAGAAGACATTTGACGGTGTCAAGATGAGACAAAAAATGTAACAACTCCACTAATGAGGCCTTGGAAGGGTTTTTTCAATTGAAATTCTAGGCTTAGGTAGGGGTGCTGCATTCTCATCTATTTTACATTATATGGATGCTCTTTTCAATCTCTTTGACCAGTCTATTGGAACAAAGATTAAGTTTGATTAACTCTTTAAAATGAGCAATTTTCTTAGTTATGTTCATGACCTATTGGTGTTTGGCAAAGTATTGCAAATGACATTGCTAAATATAAACCTTAACTCTTTCGGTCATGTGTTAGTTCTACATATAAATTAAGTCAAAAGCATCATTCTTTTGTCATCCAAAGTCACCGATACGGCGATACCATTGTCCTTTTAATTTGCCAATGTATTATCCCAAACTAAGATATATTGGAATTCTTATCTCCTAAGAAAATTTCACCTAGCAAACTTTTAACCCCTCCTCCACAAAACTGCCCAATTACTCGAAGGTTGAAAAGCTAAGTCTCTCTCCTTTGCTAATGCATAAAATTCACCATATAAAATTACTTGCCTAATAGACCAGAACTTAACTTATTCCAAAAATAAGTTGTAAAGTTTTGAATAGATATTAGGCATGGTGATGTCAATACAATAAACTTCCACCTTATATTTCGGGATAAATACTTATAAACCCAAAGCTTTGATAACTTAGGGCCTCCTCTCCATTATTGTTCAGACTCATGCGCACATAGTTTTCTATTTTGTGGAGATTTTTTTGCCTCCCACAATCTTTTGTGCTATTGGTGAAAACTCAATATTATTTCCCTTGAAAGCCTACCTCTAATAAAATCTCTTTTTTGGGAAGGTCTTGAATTGATAAATACTGTGAAAGCTAAGCTTACTAATAATATCTCCAATGGCTGTTGCTTAAAACTTCTTTGGAAAATCATTAGTATCATGAGAAAACATTAGAGCATTTGGTCCCATTGTCTTCTCCTACACGCCACTCCCCTCCATTTCTCTTCTCAATAAGATAATTATTAATAACAATCTATGGAATCTATCAGGTTCAGCAAATATTGCTATATATGATGCCGTTACACAACTTATCATTTGGGGGCAGAGAGTGCATTGCTTGGAATGGAAATGCTATTCCTTCTTCAAGGATTTTTAAAGCAAATTATATAATAATGAAGTCAATTTTGATTGGCATAAACTGTTGCGTCCTGAAATATTCACGGCGGTACAAAAATATAAAGTTTAACATCTTAGTTTTGTACGGAGATCTAGTACACAATTAGATAAAAGAGAGGGTGTAATATTTTTAAGAGACACTAGAGTTTTTTATGTGGAAAACCATTGAAAAAGGGAGAAAAATGAGAAGGTCTGACCCAGTTTGAATGAATCAACTAGTATTTGAAATTGATCGCAAATGAGACCCTTCATTGAAGGGAATGCCTTGGCTTGATGTAATAAATATACATCATATAGAATGCTTTACATGGTGGAAATTGGAAAAATCATTATTGATATGTTCGTTTTGTCGGCAAGACCATAGTCGGTGAGCGACGGAGGTTAAAAAGAATGTTATCTGGCTACAAAGGTCGGAAGGACCATAATCCGTGGTGGAGAATAAGTCCAACGTTAGTTGGTGGTTGGGAAGAAGCCAGGTTTTAGTTGGTGGCTGGGCAAAAGTTCGATGTCAATTGACGACCAGGAAGAAGTCTAGCGTTAGTTGGTGGTCAGAAAAAAATTCGGTGTCAGTTTATAGCAAGATGTAAATCCGATGTCAATCGAGGCCGGGCGAAAGTCTGGCTATGGGTTGAAGTTCGGCGTTGGACAAAAGTTCGAGGACTGGCGGTGGTCTAGCAGAAGTCTGAGCAGTGGTCGAGGAGTTTGGTGGCAAGAGAGATTTCAGATATCTCTTCCTTCTTCCTCTCATTCTCTTCCTTGCTTGGGCCTCTTCTTCCTCCACTTATTCATGAGAAATAAGAGGTCTATTTATAGTTTTCTGATAGTAGCATGATCAGTAAATAAGGAGAAGATCAATAATGTTGAGAGTGGTTTGAATGGAAGGCCAATATCGATTTCTTTGATGATGGTATGTTTATCGAGTATTTGAGTTTTTAGTGATCTCAGAATTCGACAATCTTAGGCTCGTTGGATAAGTCTCGTAGAGCCGCTCGATTCGAACATAAGCATGTCACGTTTGGAAACCGTTTGGTAATCCAAATTCTGGTTTAAACCTTCCAGATGTGCTTTGGGTCTTTGATTTGGACTCATTTGAGCTTGGATTGAGTCAAATTTTTTGTCGTTGGGTTTGTATTTTTGAGACGTTCAACTTGACTATAAGTTTGTTGAAATCACAGTTCAGATGGTCCCAGATTTATTTTTTTGAAATTTCCAACTTGATTTTGCCTCAAGATTCGTGCTCGATCAATATAATTTTTTGATGATATATCACATTGATTTGGTATAAATATTATATATTAAGATATTCTTTTGCTTGGTTATGCCTTGTTAGGGGGCTCAAATATACTAATATGTTTAAATCTTGCACCATTGATATTCAAGCTTCTTGCGAATTCATAATCATGATTATGAATTGAGAAATCATTTCTTTTTCAAATATCCATATACTCTTCAGTCTGTTGACAAAATACCTTCCCAATCTTCCACAATCTCATTTCGAGAGTAGATTAGACTGAAGTCCAACCCAAGACATCTCGTTACATTAGGTGATCCCGTTCCAACAATCCTCTTTTGTTGGACAATTTGCCATTCTAACAAAAGTTCTCTATTAATTTAATGACCAGGGTTTGTTTTTGTTAAACAAAAATGCTTATATTTCCTCACTACTTGTTATTTGACTTACTCTATATGGTGTGAGAGAAATGGTATTTATTTTGATAAAAACATTGAAAGTTTTATCATTTCACATCTAAAAATTATAGAGACTGTGATATCTGAAGTCTCTAAATGGGGCAAACTTCATGACACCAAACAATTGCCGCAATAATGTTTGTTTATGTTTCTATTTTGCTCGGTGTTATTGGAAAGTTTTTTTTGACTATCGATGATGATGAATGACCTTCTTCTTTGTTTTCCTACGACTATTCATTTATTTTTGGTTTTTCAATTTTGTTGCACCCACTCTCGAAGATCAGCTTGCAACCATAGTTTGTGGCTTTCATATAGTTTGCTAAATGTTGTGGGGTATATTTTTTTGCATTGTGAGTTGGTCAGTCCATTTTTAATTTTTAATGTTTGTGAGATATTTTTGTTTTGCTATGTGAGCTTCAACTTTTTTTTTTTTTTTTCATATCCCCTTTTTTTGGGCCTCTTGACTCCCCTTATTTTTACATAATTCTATTTTTTTTGGCAATAAAAATTAATATTATAGTTTTATCAATTTTTTAAAGCACAGCTTCCAACTAAGGAAGAGGTTCCAAGGGGCAAATATTCCTTAAAACATTAATAATTTAAGGAAAACCTACATGCATAATATTACACAAATTTATATTATATATTTATCACATAATCTTACTATTTAGGTTTCTTTTAAAACAACTTTTTTACTACTTCTTAAACAGTTTTTTAATACAAAAATTATTAAAAAATTAATTTAAAAAGCTGTAATAATATCGTTTCAAACGAAGCCTTATTTAATAAATCATCTCATTTACTCCTTCCATCCATGCAATAGAAGAGGAAGTTATATGTGACACTGCAAGAATCAGGGGCGGAACCCCCTCAAAATTTTTTTTCTCATTATACTATTATTTATATAATTTTTAAGAAGAAAATTATGATGAGATCTTACGTGGAGGCCACTAGTAGGGATTAGTGCGTGGCAACTAAACCCTCATCAATGATGAAGTTCATAAGATGGGGATAATCACACATGCATGACATTATTAATAAAATGTTAATGATAATTGTTTAAAAATAATATTTTTTTATATTACTTGATACAATAATAAATGTAAAAAGTTAAATATTAAGTTATAAAAAATTAAATGGCGTGTAAAATTCTCATATGTGCAATACAAATTATCTTAGATTTTATTTGAGATAGTTTTTTTCATTAATTTTTAAAATAAAAATTTAATAAAAAAATTTCTTAAGCTATAAATCTTGGTACATATGTAACATGAAATTTTTTTTGAACTATTTATTTTTTACTAAAAAAACTGTTTTAGAAATAAGTAAAAAAAAAGTCCTAACGAAGCCCAGCTTTGTAGAAAAGGTTGGAAAGACTTTTGACTTTCTACTACGTCTACTTGGTTACCATCATTGTCAGTAGCTCCCTTCACACACACACAGTCACACACAGAGAAAGGGAGAGAGAGAGAGAGAGAGAGAGATGGCAGGAGATCGGAGGATCGGAGTGGCGCTGGACTTCTCCAAGAGTAGCAAGCTTGCACTTCAATGGTCGATTGACAACCTCGCCGATAAGGGTGATTCCCTCTTTATCATCCATGTCAAAAGCCCCTCCGCCGATGAGTCTAAAAATTCCCTCTGGTTTCAATCCGGATCTCGTAATTATTTCCCCAAAATTTCCACTCACGTTTTGATTCTTTGTTCTCGTATGATAGAATCATTTCTCCTGATTGATCCTTCATTGTTGATTGCAGCTTTGATCCCGTTGACGGAGCTGCGGCTGCCGGAGGTGGTGAGGCAATACGATGTCGAGCTCGACGCTGAAGTTTTGGATTTGCTCGATACTGCTTCTAGGCAGAAACAGGTACGTCAAATTCGTATTTTTTATGATGGTCCTGTTGTATAGTTTTGACTTAATTAGAACTGAAGACTGATTAAATTTTCATTGTGAATCAGGTTGCTATTGTAATGAAGATTTATTGGGGAGATGCGAGGGAGAAGCTTTGCCTTGCTGTGGACGACCAAAGGTTGAATTCACTTGTCATGGGAAGCAGGGGTCTCAGTCCATTAAAGAGGTTTGTGATGAAAGTAGAAATTCTGATTTTTCTTAGCATAGAAGTGGATTTTGCAAGAGGAGTATTAATTAGGTAAAGCATGGTTAAGTAAATTTCCTTAGCAAATTCTAATAGCCGAAACATGCATGTCATTTGAGAGCCTATCATATTCGTGCAGTAAAACACAGGCTTCTAATTAACACTATAATAAACTGGTTAGCTTAGAAGTTTCATTGCAAATGGGAACCGAATTCTATGCTGCCTTCAACTTTATGTTGTTCTCTGGTGATATGATTACTAGAAGTTCACCAGCCGGTATGCAAAATTGCACTAAGCAGCCTTTTTAGGGTGCCAGGGTTTCTTAAATAAAGTGTGCTAGTTACTATTTTTAAGAATAAATGTGATGCATGGTGCGAATTATAGAGGAATTAAGTTAATTTGTCATACTTTAAAACTATGGGAGCGAGTTATGGAGTATAATTTGCGGCGTGATACTAATGTTTCTCAAAATCAATTTGGATTCATGCCGGGTAGGTCTATTATGGAAGCCATACATTTATTGAGAGGCTTGATGGAGAAATATAGAGAGAATAAGGAGGATCTATATATGATATTTATTGATTTAGAGAAAGCCTATGATAAAGTTCCAAGAGAAGTGCTATGGAGAGTTCCTGAAAATAAAGGAGTTAATAACGCTTATAATTAAATCATTAAAGATATTTATGCAGGAGCTATTACTTGTGTTCAAACACAAGGTGGTTTGACCGAGTATTTTCCTATTTCAGTTGAATTACATCAAAGATCAGCCTTAATCCCATATCTTTTTGCTTTAGTCATGGATGTTCTCACTAGACATTTGCAAGAAGATGCACCTTGGTGTATGCTTTTTGCTGATGATATTCTTATTGTTGATAAGACTAGAGAGGGAGTTGCATGTAAACTTGAATTATGGAGGTTAACCTTAGAGTCTAAAGGTTTTCGCCTGAGTAGATCTAAAACTGAATATATGGAGTGTAATTTTAGTAGTAATATACATCATGAGAGGATTGTGACTTTGAGCGAGCAAGTCATTAATAAGAGTACACGTTTTAAATATCTTGGATGACTAGAATATAAAAAGAAATGTTCAAAAATAGATAAGTAAAGAAAAAAAAAGTTTTTCTTACTACAATTAAAGCAGAAGACTTGTCCACTTTCTTTAGTCAAAACTAAAAAAAGAAACAGATGTACTTGATTCAGGAAAGTGAAAGCGATTTGTCCTATAGCAAAGAAAAGAGAGAATTTATAGGGAGTTTGGATTAAAGGTTGAAACACGAACGTAGGGAAAAACGAACAGCAGGTGGATTCCACGGCTTTGAGGGAAGGCTGGATTTGGCTTGCTATGTGTTCCGAAGAGTAGAGGAAAGTGGCTATGTTTGACGTGCTGGATGGAGTAAGTTCAGGTGTTGTAGTCAAGGTGTAAAGAAGATCAAGAGAATGTGCTGAAGGTCTAAGGAAAGTAGAAGAATAGATGTCTGAAGGAAAAATTGGTTAGATCCTACAGGTTGGAGTGAGATCGAACTTGGCCGAGGCAAGAGCAGGTCCGTGGGAAGACAGGAACCTTGTGTTGCTTGCGGATTTCAGAGCTTGGCTGAGGGATCGTGGCTTTAGGTTGAGCTGCTAAGTGTGGAGTAGGGAAACCGTGGTTTTTTTTTGAGTTTGCGTGCTTTGGGCTTATAGGGACGGGAGGTGTTGACAGTTGAGTGGAGCTTGGTGGGGCTTGAGGCTCTTCTGGAGATCGACAGTGGGAAAATGTGCTTTATGTTGCATCTACTATTGCCAATATGTAGAGTGGCCCTGACGCGTGAATATACATGATTTGGGTTCATCCTCTACGAATTGGTTCTAGGAAAGTGCATAGACATTCTTGACTAGTCATGGTATGCAGATTATTGGAGGGACTAGGGATTAGAAATGGCCTAAAAAGATTGCTTAACTCGAAGAAATAATGGTGTATATAGGGCATAAATATTCTACTTTTGTGGAGGTTGAAATGCAGAGGTTCTTCCTTGTAGAGAGGCTGTTCCCATGACTCGAACTCAGGGGACAACTAACAGTTGCTATGGGCGCACCTTCTGGATGTACATCTGCTGTCAATTGGCAGGAAAACTAGATGGAAGTGTTCCCAGGACATAAAGCCCATCAAAAGACCTTCGGATAAGTTTAATGGTTGGGTTTTTTATTGTGTCTGCTTATGGACTAATTATTTTGTGCGGACACCGGACGGAGAGAACCACCTAGATTTGCTGCGCTTTTATTGTCCTTTTGCTGCGCTTTTGTAAAAGGGCAATAAAAGGGATGCAAATATTTAATATTTACTAAATAATTTACTGAGTATTTACAAAAACACAACAAAATGTCAGTAAAAACACATTCATAATTAAATATTTACTGCCATTCTATTCCCCTTTCTCAAAAGTGCAGTAAATCCGGACGGTCTCTCCGTTCAGTGTCCGCACAGAATAATCTCTCGATTTAAAGTTTCAGAAAATTTGAAGCTAAAGGGAAATCTTGTAAGTTTAATTGAAATTCTTAGGTTGATTTTTTGCAGGTGGTTTAAGAGAATAAAACAAAACTAGACTGCAATTTTTAGCATGCATTAACTTTTTGCTTCCAGGTTTCAAAAAGACTTGCCATCAGAACTTAGGCTTCGTATGGTAACGCTTCAAGCTACCATGCTTTTCAAAATGTCAATCTCAACAAAAGAAATTCTAGTCTTCTGGATCTTCTTGGTTGGGAAACCAATTGCGGATGTGTTGGACGAGAAGAATCGGGCATTAATGTTTTTTTTTATCTATTTTCAAATATGCATGTCTGGTCTTTTTCATAGGTTTCTGATAGGAAATACTTGAGTTCTCAAGTATTTCTAACCCAAACTAGTAAATATACAGCAGCCAACTGCTGTCCACAGCAGCAAAACAGCAGGAATTCGGTGAAAACGTAGCAGGAAATAGGGAAAAACAGGAGAAAAACACAAGATATTACTTGTATTTCACTAGAAATCAAAGAAATCAGCAAAGATACAATATGTTCTTCAATCCGAGAGGAAGAACAACTCTCCACGATCTCCGGCAAAGCCAAGAGCCCAAAGCAAACCCTAGATCTCAAAGAGAAAACTCAAATTCAAGATGAGGAGCCAATCCCCCCAAAAACTCCTAATTATACAAATTAATCATAAAGGACAATAATGGACTTCCTAAAACAGCCTCTCATTCAAAAATTTTCCCTCCCCCCATGCGTTTAGCCACTATTTGGGCCCCCCGACTCCAGCTCCTCCGCGCGTTCCGTATGGTTCCGCCCGACTTTGGTTCGTCGGGTGTAGAACCGGACCGGTAGCTGGACCGGTCCAGGCGTAACAGTTTCTTACCTTGAGTCCCGTGTGTGACTTTCTGCCACATTGATGAAACACATTCATGTTTATTATGAGATAACAAAAGAACGAAGCAATAATTGCAAAAGCAATAACTGAAGAGATTATTGAAAGGTTATCTTATCGGTAAGCAAAACTACATATTGTTTTAATCGGCATTCAGCCTCTCATTTGTAGATTTAGTTTCTAGTTTTTTATCAATGGAGTTAAGTGATTTGCAAATGCCTTTATTATAAATTTTCAATGTTTTAAAATCTGCCATTATTTACTCTGAATTTGAAATTGTAGCCATTGAAAAAGAAATGAATTTGTAGTTACTGAAAAAAAAAAAAAAATTGTAGTTGCAATTCTCTATGACTTTTGTTAAATGATTGTTAGGCTGTATCAATAAAGTGATAAATGTCTATGTAAGAAGTTGCGGAATGACATCTATTTAGGCTATGAAATTCTAATGTTTTTCATGGGACATTGGCATAGTTTATTATGGAATGAATTAATGTTCTGCTATATTGAGGTGCTTCACCGTGCAATTAACAGCTTGCCATCGGAATATATGGAGACAACCATCTTTGTGACCTTTGCTTGATATATTTACCTGAATGCTTCATGGTTCTTGTCCATTTCTTTCTGTTTTACATATTACAAAGGACTAATTAAGTTTGCTATGTGAAAATGATTAGCAGTTCCATACCCTTTGATTATTGTGAGTTGAACACACTTTAATGAATGGCTATATTTTGTGCAAGCACAAAGCCTAATACTTCGTTGGCGGCTTCCTCATTTTTTATGGCAAATATGTTAACTAAAGCTTAACTTGATGGGATACCTTGTTGAGCAAACTGATTTATAATATAACATATGCCAGCGCTGGCTCTCTGAAATAATAAACATAGATTTATCTGTAAACAAAGAATTTGGGTCGGTTGGGAGTAGTGCACAATAAATGAAGTCCAAGTTATTAGGTAGAGAAAGAGGACAGATTGTTAAGTTCTCCAACTTAAATCCTTGCTTGAACTGCTTCTTATTTGATTAATATGATAAACAATTTGATGTCTGAAGATGGCAATGTTGATTTGGATTTATTTCCAAATCTTAATATTGTTGATTTGGATTTATTTCCAAATCATAATCATAATAAAGCTTTATTTTTAAAGCTTTAATGGCTCTTTATTGCAATTAATCAGGGAGCTGATTTATTTCCTAATTATGTGATTTGATTGGGATTTAATTGGGAATTAGATTAGAAAGTTTTTTCTTTAACTGTTTCCCCTCAAATCTATAAATTGAGGGATTTGGGGGTTGTTGTAGCAAGAGAGAAAGCTTGAGAGTTTTGTAATTCCCTATTGTTTTCTAAATTAGTGAAATCATCTCCTACTTGTAGACATAGACATCTTTGTCGAACCATGTAAATCACTGTTTATTATGTTTGTGGTGCTTAATTTTATTTCCATTGTAATCGTCTGCACAACAATTGGTATCATAGATGTCAACTATTTCCTGCAACGACGAACGGGAAGATTTCCTGTTGGTGTGGTTTGGCCAATCTTGGAAAGCATAGTTTGCATGGAAGTGTAGTGGTTAGGTTTGGCTGATCGCGTAAAACATGATCGTGGATGGGCTGATCGTAGAAGACGGAAGCTCTGGGTTGTGGTTTGGGTAGCACAGGAGGCGCATGGAAGCCTCACGCATAGATCGCAAGATAGCGGGCACAAGGTTGGCTCGGAAGCATCTAGATCATGGGTTTGCTCAAAGCGGAGACCAACGTGGACATACGACTTGGTCTGCGTGGGTTTTGCCGTGCATGGAGGCGCGAATTTTGCAGGGAGATCAAGGCTCATGAGCGCGCAGTGGCACGCGGCTGCATGCGAACATGCGGGCTAGTCTAACGTAGCTGCCGAAAGTTTGATTTCGAACGCAGAGCCAGGGAAGCAACGGTTTGGAGACGCGGTTCCGCGATTGTTCTCTGGTCGAACTGCGAGCTTGGAGACAACTTGCGTAAAACAGGTTACTTGCTGGAGCAGGCTGCAATTGGCTGCACGTGGAGGCGAAGCACAAGCACCGTAGGCAGGTCTTAGTTGCTGATAGAAGAAATCAAAATGATTGAGTGTCTACAGTGTTTTTGTAGCTGTGTTCTGGATTGTTGTGGAAAGCAGAAATTAAGTCAAATTGGTACAATTCTGGCATTGTAAGAAAGCTGAAATTTGGTGAAAGCTATGCAATCCGGTGGAGCCATGAATTCATACCACCTCGATGGTGGAAAAGACGACAATTCATCAAGTTGTTACACATTCCGTTAAAATCGATGTTACGAAATTTGACTGCAAAGAGAACTTTGGCATGTGGCAATGTGAGGTGATGGATTCGTTGTGCTCTTTGAATCTAGAGGATGTTTTTGTTGACGATGAACATTCTGAAGAGATGTCTAAAAGAGATTAGCTCAAGATGAACTAGAGTGCTTGTGGCTTGATAAAAAATTTTCTATCTCAAGAGATCAAATATGGGGTGATGATGGAGACTTCAGCTGTGAAACTGTGGAAGACTCTGGAGAACAAGTATTTGATATTCTGATGAAGAGTGTAGAGAATCGTCTTCATATGAAGCGGCGGCTCTACAAGTTTCGAATGAGACATGGGGTTACAATTGATTAGCATTTGAATGACTTGACAAAGCTATTGAAAAATCTTTTGAATTTGGATGAGAAGGTTGGAGATGAAGACAAGATGCTTCTTATGTTGAATTCGCTCCTGGATTAGTATGAAAATTTTATGATGATGCTCATTCATAGGAAGGTCTTGAACTATGGTGACTACTGCATTGCTGAATTATGAGCTCCGGCGTTGGGATAAAGAGTCCGTAAAGATGGATTCAACTAAGGCTCTTACATCCCAGCAAGCAAGATTTGAGAAAAAGGAAATGACGGCAACAAGCAAGGCAAGTCTTGTGGGTGCAGTCTTGGGAAGAATCAATGTGTTTTATGCTTGGAAACTTGTCATTAGAAGAAATGTTGCACGAAGCTGAAGGAGAATAGAAAGGGAGTTTCCACTGAGGCTAACTTTAGCATGGAAGAGCGTGACGAAGATTTAGATGTATCACTATTTGCAGTTTCTTAGAGTTTGTATTCAGATGGTTCTTGCTGGATTCTAGATATTGGTGTTACTGATCACATTTGTCTCACTAGAGAGTGTTTGTACCTACAAGGCGCTTGATAGTGGTGTTGTGACCATGAGAAATGATAGGGCTTGTCGTACAACTGGTATAGGGAGCATCTTCAACATAATGCATGATGATATTGTGAGGGAGCTGACTGATATGAGACATGTTCTAGATATTAGGAAGAATTTGCTATTTATTGGGGTTTTAGAGACTAAGGGTTACAGGGTAGTTAATGAGACAAGAATTCTGAAAATATATCATTGAGTGTTGGCTTTTATGAAAGGGGTTCGTCACCACAACCTTTACTATCTTCAGGGAAGAAAGTGATTGGAATGGCTGTTGTTGCCGATAATTCTTCTGATGCCACTAATTGTGGTATATGCAGCTAACTCATGTCGGAGAGGCTTCTCTTATGGATTTGGTAAAGCAAGGATTGATTAAAGGAGGAAGCACCTGCAAGCTCAATCTTTATGAACATTGTGTATTTGGCAAGAAAACACGTGTATCTTTTGGTACTGCCATCCACAGTACAAATGATATCTTAGAGTATGTTCACACAGATGTTTGGAGCCCAACGAAGACAACATTTGGCGGGTGGTGATATTTTATCTCTTTTGTTGATGATTACTCCGGATATGTTTAGGTGTACACTATGAGGCGCAAGAGCGAGGTACTAGAGATTTTCAGAGCTTGGAAGAAGTGGATTGAGACTCATATTGGCAAAAGGATTCCGTGTATCAGATCAAAAAATTGTGGCAAATACAGTTTGGATGCATTCTTGCAGGTGTGCCAAAGATCTGGGATAGAGCATCACTTTACTATTCGAGAGACATCGCAACAAAATGAGGTTGCAGAAGATGAACCAGACTTTGGTGGAAAAAGTTCGGTGTATATTATCTAGTGTTGGGTTGGATAGAGTTTATTGGGCTGAAGTAATAGATTATGCTTGTCACTTGGTGAATTTTTTTTCCTTATGCAGCTATTGGGAATAAGACACCAAAAGAGATATGGTTAGAGCATCCTGCTAGAGATTATCAGCACTTGTGAGAGTTTGGGTGTTCAGCTTATTATCATATTTAGAATAATAATAGTGTTAGAATGTCCCAAAACGAATTTGGTTGAGGGATCACATTGTATTTGCACTTTCAACCACGGTGGTTGAAGTTTCTAATCACTATAAGAAATTAGTGGACATTTTTTATGGTGATTTATGGAGAGATGAAGTCTCTTCAGAATGATGCTACTTAAAGGTTAATGAAGCTTTCTCCATGAAGAAAAGTCATTGGGTGCAAATGAATGCGTGCAAAGAAGGAATGATCTCTTGGAGCTGATGTTCAATACAAGACTAGGTTAGTGGCAAAAGACTTTGCACAACGGAAAGTGATTGCTTATGATGAGATGTTCTCCCCAGCGGTTAAGAATCTCTCGACCCGTGGTCACTTGGCACTTACAGCATTGTTTGGTTTGATTCTGGAGCAGCTCGATCCAGATATTGTAGCTGGTGGCATTGTGAGCAGGTTCATACATGATACAATAAGGAATAATTTACAAGCTGTGAAGAGTATCCTAAGGTATCTGAAGGGTACAATTGATGCAAGCTTGGAGATGCAATCACCATGGCAGTCATGCATGACTCGTGACTGATTGTCCACTTATTTTGAAAAATTATGCTCGGCTTGATTCCTTGGGTTAAGGGTACGTAGGCAACCATTTGGGTACAGTCGTTCTGATATCGGAGCCTGATTTATTATCTTCCACTTTCTGAAATAAAAGATGATGTGAAGATTGTTGATTTGGATTTATTTTCAAATCATAATAAATCTTTTTTTGTAAAGTTTTAATGGCTCTTTATTGCAATTAATTAGGGACCTGATTTATTTCCTAATTATGTTATTTGATTGGGAATTATATTAAAATGTTTTTTTAAATTGTTTCCCCTCAAATCTATAAATTGAGGGGTTTGGGGCTTGTTATAGCATGAGAGAAAGCTTGAGAGTTTTGTAATTCCCTATTGTTCTTCAAATTAGTGAAATCATTCCCTCCTTGTGAACGTAGTCTTCGCTGAACCACGTAAATCATTGTTATTATATTTATGTTGTGTGATTTTGTTTTTGCTGGATTGTTTGCACAACAGAAAATTCTATAAAAGTTTTGAATTATCTTGATTCTGCATGCCTCCATTAGAACAACTATAATTTCCTTATTAAACATCCCATTTTTTAGCTTAAAAAACATACTTTTTTTACTCTGAGAAAATCAGTGAAACATGTGATGTCTAACTTTTTGTTCCTCTTCTTTTCTGCAGGATTTTACTTGGCAGTGTAACAAGTTATGTAGTCTCCCACGCAGTTTGCCCAATCACAGTCATCAAAGATCAAGATTTCAAGCACTGAATTACTCTATTATACATAGAGTACTAAATAAAGTCTCAGCTGTAAACTTAGAATCAGCAGAATCAGATATTTATGTGTGAGTGCTGTGTATATATCTTTATGCTTTATCTGACTGAGCTTTTACCATTAAATAATTGCGTGCTTGTATGATGCTAGTGAATGTGCTCCTACACGTAACAGATGTGCTAATACTTTGCTCTGTTAATAACTTGCCTGTGTAATAAACTTCAGATCTCTACTCTTAAGGATTAATTTGCTGCTGCTTTACTAATTAATGCTTCTTAGCTTATTATACCATTCAGTCCCTTTGTTTTTCTGATGATTTCGGCTTTGTTTGGGCAGTTTTTTTATTGCTTCTTAAAACTGCTTTAAAAAGAAGTAAAAAGCCGTCCCAAATGAAACAGATTTTTACTCTGCTATATTGATAAAAAATCATGGATGCTTTAGTGAATTCTGGGATTTTTTGAGAGAAATGGTTGAAAATAATTTGGATTGAGTTTTGATCAGGTTTACAATGAATATATCTTGCTCAGCTCATGTAATGGGCATTCATTGAAGAGTATTTTTAATTGCTGTGATTTGTTTGGTCGGTCTTGAGGGATTTTGCATAGCAAATTGTGCTTATTTTGTATTGTAAGATGGTGTCCACTAGGACTGTAATTGAACCAAGTCGATTTAGAAAATAAGAGCAATAATAAATTATAGTTCAAATGGCATGTACTTATTCTAAATTATAGATCAAATTTGGAAAAAAAATCTATTAATCATTACTCCTTCACAATACATATAGAATAAATAAAAATAATAGAAATCCTAAATATAAGGTAAATGGAAAATATTTTTTTTCATGATTTTTTAAATACGGTTTGTATGTGAATAAGGTTTCGTTTGAGATGACATTTTATTGCTTCCTAAGTCATGTCAAGATCAACAGAAAACTAGAGGCTCACGTGCCTAATTAAGGTGTTATTCCAAAAGATCAACACCATAAGATTTAGATTTCGTTTGGGACAGCTTTTTTGCTGCTTCTTAAAACATCTTTTTAGTATAAAAATTAAAAATTTTGCATTTAAAAGATTTTAAGAAGCAGTAAAAAAGCTGTCCCATACGAAGCATTAATGGAACACTATATGACGGATTTCTTTCTTGGTGTCTTCTATGCATATTAAAGAAAAGAGTCGGAACATAAAATGGAAGGAGCTTCATTTTAAAATGGAGTGATCTTAAAATTGTAGATTATTTATTTATTGTTGAAAAAAAAAATATTATGAGACAATCTCTCTTTTTCTTTCTCTCTCACATATTTGTCTTTGTGCGTGTGAGATAGAAAGAGATTTATCACATTAATATAGAATTGTTTTATTTCCATCAATAAATGACTTTACAAAATTAAGAAATGTGGAGAAGATAGAAAAATAGAAAGACAAATAAGTCACGCAAACTATTATTGTAATCAATAATAAAGTTATAGATTATGTAATAATTTCAAAATAATAATTAATTTGTCCTTTTAATTTTGGCATAATTTCTAATAATGTTTATCTTATTATGAAATATTTAGCAAACAACTATACAATTAATTGTTAACTTTATTAAAAAATAATAAATTTAATTTATCTTATTAATACCTAAGCATATAAGCCTATAACGGCTAGTTCAGCGTCTACCAATCCTGGTCTCACACGTATAAATGCTAGCTGTACAACAGCCTATATATATCTACATATGTACTTAGAATAGGAGGAGAAAATAATATTCTAGTTTAATCTTTCCATCTCTGTACATCTTCTCCTTTCCTTATGCTACTCTGTTTCTACATGGTATCAGGCCTACCTTCTTCCTGTTCTTGATCGGAATAATGGCCACTTCTCCATCCGCTGCCTCGCCCACCGATCAACAGCATAATACTCCGGTAGAAACCTCCCTCATCTCTCAATCACTCAAATTCGTGGTGTCTAACCTCAAAACGCTGGTACCAAACCAACTTTCCTCTGACAACTATTCAATCTGGCGCCATCAAATCCTCAAACTCCTCCGGGCAAATGACTTTGATCACTTTCTTGCCCCACCGTCGTCCTCTGAGGTGTCGTCTAACTCCAAGAACTGGCGCTTCATCGACCAAAATCTCCAAGCGGCCCTCTATACGACGATATCACCGCCGGTTCTGCCCTATATCCTGCATCTTGACACCACCCACGAAATTTGGCAGGTTCTTGAAAGCCAATTTCAAGCAACCAGCCGATCAAATGTCATCCAGCTCAAGAATGAGCTCCACAATATATCCATGAAGAATCTTTCTATGATTCAATATCTCACCGATATCAAGAAACTTGTCGATCAAATCGCATCCGCCGGCTCCACCGTCGACACTGAAGACATAATTCTGTACATCATGAACGGACTGCCTCTGGCGTATCAATCCTTCAAGACCTACATACGCAATGCGCCTCAGCAAATTCGTCTCGAAAATCTCTATGCCATGCTCATAAGCGAGGAAATCCACATCAACACGGATGCAGCACGCAACCCCACGGACAACAGCCAGCAGTCGGCGCTCTATGCTCAAAGGGGTAGAGGCCGGCGCTCTAGAGGTCGTCCAAACCCCTCCTCCAACTCATCTGGGAGTCCCAGCCAACCGCACCATCCGCTTCCCACTTGCCAGATTTGTGCCAAGAAGGGACATACGGCTGATATCTGTTGGCATCGTATGAATGCCTCCTACACACAACCGCCAACCAATTCCAAACAAAATAACGCTCTGCTCGTCAACACAGAAACTCCTTCCTACGACTGGTATCTTGACTATGGGGCATCCTCGCACATGACAAACACGGCAGGCAATCTTCAACAATCCACATCCTATCAAGGAAACGAAGGTGTCTTCATCGGGGACGGAAGGAACATACCCATTGCTCACTCGGGCACGGGCATTCTTCCAACCCCGAATCATAAGCTTCACCTAACTAATCTTCTTCATGTCCCTAACATTTCTCATAATCTCTTATATATATCTCATCTTGTTAAAGATAACAATATCTCGATTACATTTGATCCAAAGGGTTTTGTGTTTAAGGATCTGACGACAAACCAGGAGCTTCTTCGTGGTCCATGTAACGTAGGCCTTTACAAGATCTCTTCTACCGAAACCGAAAAGCATCGCACCTCTGCGCTTCAGGCGTCCAAGAACCCAATATTCCGATGGCATGATCGACTTGGCCATCCTCATCTACGAGTTCTACACAAGATCTCTCGCAACAATCCCAATTTACATATTCCGCAACTATCATCGTTTTATTGCACCACCTGTATTCAATGTAAATGTCACAAGATTCCTTTTGCACCAGCAAAATCAAAAGCTAAATTACCTCTTGAATTGCTGCACACTGATGTGTGGGGACCGGCTCCGGTCACCTCCACTCAGGGTTATAAATTCTTTGTTATCTTTGTAGATGATTGCTCTCGATATACATGGCTGTTTCCAATTATGCACACATCGGATGTCTTCAACATTTTTAAAAACTTTATTACTTTTATAGAAAATCAAACGAACTATAAAATTAAAGCTCTCAGGTCAGATGGGGGTAAAGAATTCATCAATCAGCAAATGCTTACCCTCATTTAATCTAAAGGCATTCAGCTTCAATCTTCATGTCCCTACACTCCGGAGCATAACGGAGTCTCCGAACGCAAAAATCGACACATCATGGAAACAACGAGATCACTCATTCACACAGCCTCCGTCTCCACCGAACACTGGCCCGAAGCCTGCTCAACGGCTGTATACTTGATTAACAGAATGCCGTCATCTAACACATCAAACAAATCCCCTCTGCAACTCATGTTCAATATACCACCTGACTACGCTCACCTTCGAACATTTGGCTGCGAATGCTTTCCTCTTCTACCCAAACACAAGAGAACAACGCTGCAACCGAAGTCCAGCTCATTTGTGTTCATGGGCTACTCCGACATACATAAGGGATACAAATGTTTCAACAGGGACACTAACCGAACCTTTATCTCTCGTCACGTTACATTCATTGAATATTCTTTTCCTTTTAACCAAACTACTTTTCCTACTCAGACTCCGTCAAACGACATGCCTCTGGCACTGCTTCTACCAATCTCTAAAGCCTCGGACATTACAGCACCTTCTCATACGACCTCTACACACAATACAAATAATTCTACCTGTACTCCAGCTCCGATTGAGGTCTCTAGTTCATTCAACTAGTCTATGAGCACTACGCCAAGTCCGGCCAAGGAGTGGTCACCCCTACTTCCTAGACATCCGATGGTCACCAGGCTACAAACAAGATCCCTCAAACATCCTTGTCGTCTGAATCTTCTTGCCACAAATTCACCATTGACTGACCCGGATCCTACCAGCTTCTCGGAAGCTAACAAACATCAGGAGTGGAGACAGGCAATGGCGGAAGAATTCATATCTCTTCAAATGCAGGGCACATGGTGCCTTATTCCCCCTCCTCCAAACGCATCTATCCTCGGATGCAAATTGACGTTCCGTAAGAAGTTCAATGCCGACGGTTTGGGCAGCTTTTTTATTGCTTTTTAAAGCAACTTTTTAAAAAGATGCTTTAAAAAGAAGTAAAAAGCCGTCCCAAATGAAACAGATTTTTACTCTGCTATATTGATAAAAAATCATGGATGCTTTAGTGAATTCTGGGATTTTTTGAGAGAAATGGTTGAAAATAATTTGGATTGAGTTTTGATCAGGTTTACAATGAATATATCTTGCTCAGCTCATGTAATGGGCATTCATTGAAGAGTATTTTTAATTGCTGTGATTTGTTTGGTCGGTCTTGAGGGATTTTGCATAGCAAATTGTGCTTATTTTGTATTGTAAGATGGTGTCCACTAGGACTGTAATTGAACCAAGTCGATTTAGAAAATAAGAGCAATAATAAATTATAGTTCAAATGGCATGTACTTATTCTAAATTATAGATCAAATTTGGAAAAAAAATCTATTAATCATTACTCCTTCACAATACATATAGAATAAATAAAAATAAGAAAAAAATCCTAAATACAAGGTAAATGGAAAATATTTTTTTCATGATTTTTTAAATACGGCCTAATTAAGTTGTTATTCCAAAAGATCAGCACCATAAGATTTTTTTTTTTAGCACCATAAGATTTAATGGAGCACTATTTTTTTTCTTGGTGCGTTCTAGGCATATTAAAGAAAAGAGTCAGAAAATACAATGGAAGGACTAAGGAGCTTCATTTTAAAATGGAGTGATCTTAA